ACTATAAGAAATATGTGTAGAAAGAGTAAAATAGAAAAGGAAAAAAATAGGAGGGGAAAAGAGATTGCATGGAAGATAGGACTCTGGTAGAGCTTCCGTATCATTATGCCTATCATTATGCCTATTTAAGCCCTGTCTGTTTATGTGAACTATTTTAGAAATTAAACGTTTATTATAAGAGAGTTTACTATCTAATATTTTAACATTTTTCTAATCAAAATTACGGTTACATATAACTCTATAATCCGTGATAACCGAAGGAGATTCCGATTTCTTTTTTATATCCGACACATGTTCTTGTCTCTTTCTCTCTCTGCAGTCTAGTTTTTAGTTTCCTCTTAATCTGGTCAACATAACTTCGCAATCTGTTTCGGGTCGGGCGACGACTTTCATTAAGACCGTAAACCCGTGAACGTGAAACTAGATAAATGCAGGTTCAGGATCGGGATGCCCACGAGGTGTAATAATGGCCGTTTACTATATTGGCTACTACAGTTTAATAGTTTCACAGTGGTTCACAATACGCTCGATACCGTCTCGATCACTACGCCTCAGGTTCGCGACGGGATGGTGGGTGTGCGCGTCACAAACTTAACAATTCGAGGATTCTTCGAAAGTTTTACGGATGTTGCGGGCAGAATACCAGCGCGGTGTCTCGTGTCCCACTGACTCTCGCCCCGGCGGAAGTCCGCGTATCGCAGGCGGATATCGATACGCGCGCCGCGCTTCAGTCTCAAGCCTTCTTGCGAAGTCGAATTACACACCGGTAATGGAGCTGCCGATGTAGCATCATTATCATTAGTTCGCATGGTAATACATATGCGAACACAATCTTCACAGGAAATTTTGTAAATCACACCCTGGTGGGAGAGAGTCTAGTTAGTCTTTTCCTCTTTTAATGTATTTTTTCAATGAGTTTGGAATTGTATAAGATAGTTTGCAACCAAGTTTAAATGCTATGGGTAAGAAACTTTCGGAAACACGTTTAACATAAGGTACTGTAAAATATTTTGTGTGGTCTTAATTTTCTTATTTAAATTAATGTCTATATTTGTTAGGTGCGTTCGTACATTTATATAGACCGAATATTGCCGCGCCGATACACCCGCGAGCATTTACATGTACGCGAGTGACGTCACGAGACGGCGCAAGCGCAAACGGAAAGGAAACACCAAAGTGGTGTGTGCTCGCCTCATGGCGGGGTCTTTTTCTGCTCGTCGCCAATCTTTTGGAACGAGAGCAAAATAAAGCATCAGTGAATTGAGTGTGGGTACTTGAATCTTTTATCGCGCACCCTTCCCGTACAAACCAAGATATAACAATATTATTGCTATTATTGTAAATGTAATAATTTTACCTTTTTTGTATTGTCGAAAAAATAAAATTCAAAGGGTATCCATTGTCTAAAAAAATATTAATGGCCTCAGTCAATTCTTCTGGTGAAGTCGTGGATGAGACAGTAGTACAATTCTATCAACCGCATCAATAATGACACCCTTTTTATGACAAAACAGATAATAAGAATAAAAATTAAGGAATCTTCCTGAGAAAGTTGGCTTATGATATTTGTAAAAAATAATTCTGTTTTCATCAATAATAACTGTTGTATCTAAAAAATTCAATCTATCCTTAGTATCTATTTCCATGATGAACTGAAGTCTAGTGCAAGAATTGAAAACATCTTGGATTTTATTTAATGAATTACCTGTTAAAATGGTATCGTCCACATACCGAAAATAAAATAATAATTGTGCGCGAGTGCACCGCGCGAAAGAATGAAGCGAGAGGCACACGGCTAATATAACGCACAAAAGTTAGAAGAACTACAGTCCTTTGTAGTTTAACAAAAGAGTTACTTTAATTCTTACCACAATAAATTCAACACAAATTGACGAATATTTTAGCAAAGTATTAAACACAATTCTTTTCTTACAATTTATCTCACCCGATTGCAATAGAAAATCGCGGCGATTTCTCGGCGGTTCTCGAAGAAGGTTTTCCTTATGGCGGTTCTACGTTGC